AATGTAACCTCCTTGCTATCTTGTATTACAAACTATGGCCACCGGGAACATCGGAACAACGAAGAATACTGCAACTTGAAGGGCGAAATGTTTCGAAAGATTTATGATAAATTGTTGGCGTTTATCTTGATTTGTGATAAATACACTCCAATACACGTTATCTTGAAAAATAAACTGCTACCTGGATGTTTCTATAAAGAGCTTTCTATCAGCTTCAAGAATCACATGCAAGTAAGTAGCTGATACGACTCTAATTATTAATAACGTCTTGTAAATGAATGAATGAACGTTTATGAACGGTGTAATGTATGTCAACAATGACAAAGAAATCAATAATACTACTTGTAGTCTGTTCTAAAAGCTATGATTACAGGAATATGGACGTAAATGGTGCGTTATTCTATTACATTACAATCTCTTTTGTAAAGCGGATTTGTACTAATATATTCTTGGGCCATTATACTGACACGGATATAAAGTACACTACATACATACATGTATACACATTGTACGTAAATATGGAGTCGAGGCTTGACATAATTAGATTATCATGTCTGTGTTTGTCTTTGGCAAGGGTTTACTAGATTGCATATGTGATCATATTCATTAATTTCGTCTATCTACAGTGGAACATATAGGCTGGACAGGTCATTAGAAAATGCTTATCTTGAAAGTTTTTTAAGTAAGATAAAACTGTAATTTCCAACTCAAGGAATTAACAATTTCAATTCCTGTACATTGGAATTGAACTTGTTTATTCCTTGACGAAAATTTGGGAAAGTGCAATTTCTTGAGTTGAAAATTACATTTCAATCTTGCTTCAGAAACTACATATGATGATTTGTTGATGTAACCCTGAATGGTTAGCGTTTAGCTGCATGGGATGTGTCTGAAGTAACTCAAGACTGTGTTAAACTGAGCCACCGCTGGTACCTCATATTTGCTTTTCTCCAAGAATCCACCTCGTGGGGTGTTCCGACCCACTTGTACCCACCATGCGAATCGGTTCTCTGCGCCTTCTCACCTATTTGAGAGACCGCGAGATTACGCAAACATTGCGGGCATTGCCGCAAGAACAGAGTGGGTCTAGCATTTTGCCCCGTGTAAACCGGGCCATACCTCTAAAGGTATCGGAAGCGGCTAGAAAGAGTAAAAGTTGGCCCAAACGACAAATAATATGTCAGGGGAGTTGGTCCGCTAATTTTGGGTGCAGCAAATTTCACGCACTCCCGTAGCGGACCAACTCCCCTGGCATGGCCAGTTTCTAGTCTTTTCCACCGCTTCCGGAGCTAGTAGAGGCTAGGTCTAGCAGGCGAGCTACTCTCAAACTTTCAAAGCAGAGGTTTGGATTTGGGGTTATTCTGGCGTGTTTTTAGGTTTTTTGGGGGGTTTCATTTCTAACACCGATAAAAAAAATTAAAAAAAAAAACGCCAAATAACCCAAAACCCAAACCTCTGCTTGGAGAGAACAGGCGAGCATCCTTGTGTGTTATACACAGTTATACCAGTAATGAGAGGAAATTGGCAAACACTGTCGACCATTCCTGGAATGTAATACAATCATTTCCAGGAACTAACGGTGCAGACATTTCAATTTTTTGCCGAAAGCTCGGAATTTCCTTTTAGTCTTTTTACCCCCAACCCCTTGCCTATGTTGCATTTCAGTATTTGAACAGCGCTTAAAATTAAGGAGAGAAACAATGATCTAGCAAATTACTTTAAACCAAGTCGCCTTTAATTCTTACATTCATAGCACGCTATGTTTTTCATGATCAATTAGATTATAAAGCGCCTTTAGCAAGACCGACAAACAAAAACACGTGCGCTAATCCTCTTTAGAATTGCACACAGAACGGCCCTTCAGCTTGGAAACAAATACTAGTAGATTGGTTTCTAATTTGTATATTTACCGACGAATAAAAGGCTGTGGCGTGAATAGGAATGGTGAGACGGAGAAACAACTCGCCTTTCTTCGCAGACGACTTTTGTTTGGATAACGTGGGCTGTGAATGGCATGCTTTCCCGCCAAAACGAGTGGCATTAGACATGTTTATGGCTCTCATTCAAACAGTGACGAAGCAGGTTGGGACATGGCAATACCAGGAACTCGTGATCAGCGGCCACTGGATTCTACAAAAAAAAACGCTACTACTGCGAAAATGGTGGTTTTGTTGGGGGGGGGGTAGATTTAGTACGGTTACGACGGTAGTTTTAATTTGTTGGTGTCTAATTATGAATTACTTTCTTACACTTGTATCAAATGTTCCTTTTGTATTTGTAATTAGCCCTCGGGCATAAGTCTGCAATAACCAATTGTTATTGTTAGTTTTGCACCACCTTTTAGAGTTGTTGTTTTGTTTTATTCATTCATAACATTCCATAACAATACGTTTTTATAATTTTATCTATCTATATTTGATACCTGTACTTTTTTGTTGTGTCAATAAAGAATAATGTAAGTTGCTTCATCCATAGTCTTGTACGTAGATCAATTCTTTTGTACCCACGTGTTCAGTTATACACCGTACGAAAGTCGCTGTACTTTTGCTGTGTCAATAAAGCTCTCTCTGCCGTAATGGCCTCCAGGCAACCCCAGCCACCGACGCGAATGAATTTTCCCTGGGAAGACGCCGTCACCTTAGCATATCCACATCTGGTATGTATCAATGATGCCGGGTGTTGTGTTACGTGGCGAGGCTCGGAGCTCAAGGTTACCGCCCCTCGCACCGACACCGAGGAAAGACTTGTTCCTTCAAAAACAACTGCGTCACATGTGGAACCTGTCTCCTAATGGCATCGGCCGTGCGGTAAACATAAACTTGTATGGAGTTTAGACGGGAGAGATTCAAATACAAACACAAAAGGGGTGCAGCTCAGATCATGCACATTCGTGGCAGGTCGTACAATTTTGACAAGGCGTAAAGACGCTCTAACAGTAATCTACTAGTATATTCTGTAACAAGACGATTGAAAATCGTAAGACATGCACTATTAGTACATGTATCCCACGAATATAAATAATTTGCGATCGTACTAGTCTAAATACTAGTCTAAAACCTCTGAATGTTTGATACGCCTGTAATCTCCAAAAAAAAAAATACCTCGTCAGCATATAAAAAGAAATGTTGACCCCAACCAAATATATATATTTTTTTAATTTCTGAAATAGAATCATCTGACTCCCAATGCTTCAACTCAGAGAAGCTACTGCGCCAAATACAACCCCTCCCCCCACCCCCATTGCTAATGCCCTATAAACCCACCAATATGCGGTAACCCCCTGTGGTTGCATGTTTATTACTTTTTCCCCATCATAGCTATTACAAACCCTCACTAAATCTTCTCTACTCTCCTATAACCACTTACCAACGTAAGCAACAAGAAATTGGAACCCGAGTAAATTCCAAATACACTGCGCTATCGCCAAAACATGTCCCCGTTCTGCTTCACATTTTTTTCATAATTTCATGTCGTCTGACAAGCTAATGTTGGAATTCGAAACGGTAACTTTAAAAAAAGGCACTGAGTGTTACTGTTGAAATGCTTATTATCCCCTTCCCCTCCCTAACTACAAGTTATGTTTCCTTAGAAAATCAAAATTACTACCACACTTTGTTCCAAGAAGAACCGGAGATTTGAACTACTACATCCTGTTTGGAGGTACAATTATAAGTGGCGTACAAATTATACGTGCATCCTCCTAGTCCTATGGGAATTCTCAATCATTCATGAACGGATGCCTGGTTTCCTGTGGTTTGAAACGTCGTGGTTGACGGTGTTTTTGCCAGAAATGATTCAGCAGTTCAAAGTTTCTGGTTTCTCATCCCGCTGAGGAGAGTTAATCGTCTCATCTGCCTGGAGCTGTGCGCAAATTCCCACCATCTGCGGGTCAGTACAAGCTGTGACATCGGCAGTGGATGTCACAGAAACTGTGTCGTTCGTTTGTTATTACCATCTGGTTGTCGACGGACCTAGCCTAGATGCGGGCCATACTCTCCAAGCAGAGGTTGGCGGGGAAGATCGTTTTCTGGGGGTAGCGACAAAAAAAAACGGGGCATATAATATAGAAAGGTAACGATCTTCCCCACCAACCTCTGCTTGAAGAGTAGCGGGTCGGAACTAAAACTTCTGTTACTTGTAGTATGTTGCTGTGTAGCGCATGGATGTAGATGGTCCTAGCCTAGATGCAGGCCAGTCCCTCATTCAGATATGTTGCTGTGTAGCGTAGCTCAAGGCCAAATGAGGGGTCGACTGGCGTAACGGCAGAGTGCTCGACTCGGAACCAAGAGGTCCCGGGTTCGAGTCATGACATGCCACCGATCTTGTGCCCTTGGAAAAGACTCTTTACACGACGTTCCTCACAGGAATCATAGGAACTTGTACGGCCATGGAGACCAGGAGCTATCCTGGTCCTGGCAACAGTGTGGCAATGAACCTTTTCTTCTAGACGTTTCTAGTCACTTTACTAATAGGTTTTATCATCTATCTGATCTTACATAAACACGCTCTTCGGTTTAAATCGGTCCCAAGGGTGTTTAATCATGTAACCACGTTTCACAAGGCAATAATTTTGCTTGATGCGTTACAAATATGTGTTGTTTTGTAAAACAAAAGCAATTATGCATTCTGAGTCTGCTGTGCAAAAAACAATGAATTTCTAACTAACGTAGATTAGTTTTACCTGTTTATTTATGAAACTTTCCAATCGGTTACCTGTTCACACGTATTGTGTATATTCATTGTATTTTAATATTTTACCCACATTATTTAGGAATAACCGACAACCGTCCTACCATATTTGTTTTATTCAGAAAGAACATCAATTATTCAATAGAAATAAAGAAACAGAGAGACGACTCAAGTTCTATACAACTTATCATTTCGTCCCCGCCACTTATGTAATTAAAATTAAGTAGACACTCAAAATTGTGAATAATAGATGAATAAATAAATAGAAACCTATTAAACCCAAACCCCAAGAAAGAAAGTTAGAAACCTACCATGTTGATGAGACTGGACGAGTCCACTACACTATTGGGGTCCTGAGGGTCCTGGAAGTTGACCCATGCCCCCGGTCCGGACTTGAACGTGATGTTGTAGTTGTTTCCGGTTTGGAAAATCAAGTGACCTTGATCGGTCACCATCTTAGGCCTGAAAATTGAAAAAAAAACGAAAAAGTGTTTGTTTTGCTTCACAAAACTCGTACTGTGCAAAGATATGAATATTCTACATAATTCGTATTACTGCGAATGCATGCATATCAAGTGCTGCACTAGTTAGTGAAAGTCATAATAGACTAATACATTGAATGTTTTTGTATGTTTCGAAGTCACAAAATTTGTTCTAAATTTTCTACGTAATTCGTATTACTGCGAAATTGTGCGAATGCATGAAAATCAAGTCTGCAATAGTTAGCGCAAGTCATTATGAGACATGTTTCGAAGTCTCAAAATATTGATTTATGTATTAAACACTTTAAATTAAACAAAAATAGACGAGCTAGCAAGGCATATGAAAACCAAACCAACCGTAACAAGATTTAGTTGAGACTATAATTTTATTTAAATCAAATTTGGCAGAGGTCGAAGAGCAAAATTAATTTTCAGAAAGGCTTAATAACATTTTGAGAATTAAAACCCATTTCTATCATAAATTTCCAAAAATATGTTAGCTGAAAATGTTTTATATTTTAAAGTATACGGTAGCTAAAAATGTTTTATATTTAAAATAAACGGTAGCTAAAGGGGAATTTTCGATTAGGCAATGTTATAAGCGCTGACGATAGACACTCTTTATTTAAATGAGGTCAACGTTCTTGCGGCCATATATCAAAACGCCCGTAGGTCCACGTAACGTTATCTGTACATCAAAAACAAATAGATAGAATACCACGGTTGACACTTTTTCAAAATCTAGAAGCACGCCGTTATGAAACAATAGGGATTTAGATACGAAATGTATACGATTTATTGTTTATCGTATTCGTATCTCTGGATAATTGTCTTGATGTTATCGGGAAATCGTCTGCTTTAGGTTGGAATTCAGAACCCAGCTTGGCTTCTTGTCGTCTCTTGACAAGTTGACGATTGATGTGGCTTCCTAGACAAGACACTGAATCCGTCTTTCCAGATCAAGGGCACACGCTAACGTATTCAACTTCTAAGAAATGCCGTTATATTTCTTAGAAATGCTGTGTACATCCTGGACTTGTCAACGTGTGCTTGCATATCTTCTTGACAGTTTTTTTCTGTCATGCTTGAAAAATCACTCTCCGATATCATTTAACAAAGAAATTGACCATGATAAAAAAAAGTAGGCGTGCGCTAGATTTTTACAAGGCTTTGTTTTCGTTTGCTAACACGGACAAACGGACACTAGAGCATGTTGCACTCGTACTGTGGTGTGATAATTAAAACAAGGTGTCGATCCGCCATTTTGCTTCATACATTTTTAATCCACTTTGCCAACAGACGGTAAAAATGTGAAGTAGGCACTAAAGATTGGAAGTGTGATTTCTCAATTTGTATTTGAAGTTTATTTTCACACGGAGTTTTGTTTTCGTTTTTTTCGTACGGTCCCGAAAGAAGGTAAGAGTAGACGCTGTACATGTTGCGTTGATTGTAGTGATTTCTAGAGGGGATACCTTCCAAGGCTCTGACCTCTTTCTCCTTGGGGACAACTCGTACCAGCTTCTGACGGCTCCTTCACCGCAGTGTCTTAGGGACCGATCATTTCTCACCACTGAGGGCGAGTGTCAAGATGTTCCCTAATCGTCTTGTATCGTTCAGTATAAAACTTAGATTCTAGACAAGCAAAAACTAATGCGATTTTGGCCTCCTTTTTTTGACAAGGCGCCAATATTTCACTAGCAGTGGTTAATGGTTTGAATTAGTTCAGCTAACATAGAGACAGGTTTTGGTTAATTTTAAACAGGGGCGTTGGCTACGTCCGCGACATGCACACATGACACGGGAATAAAAAAAACTCCGTTTGTGTACTCTGTAACACCTAACACACATATCAACACTACAGGGTACCGCAAGCAACGACTACTATAGTTTATTAGGTCCTGACGTTAATTCCTGATATCAAAATTTATCCTGTAAACTTTTGTCACCCTTGTTGATAAGAGTGTTGACTAGGTTTAGCCGGTTACTCCCGGTTTGGAGTTGATTTCCCACGTGTACACTTTAGTCGGTTAGTGAACAGTCCCTTGCTGGGTTGTATAACACCCCAAACGCCGTATGGGGTTAGCTTGTGGTAGAATCGCCGGGATTTCTAACCCAAACATATCCACAGAAGAAAAATGTTGCCGTTTTCACTTAGCCTAGTACTGCAGTGGCCTAGCACAGAGGATTTTCGTTCCCTGTTTTACTGTTCTTTCTTTACGTCTGCGTCTAGGCTAAACAAACCATAATTCAGACGACCTTGTACGATTCTGTTCCAATCTTTCACTCTTATAAACTTTGATGTAAAGAGCCTGGCTTTAGCTAACGAAAAAACCTCACAAACCGGACGTGGACGTATCTTTCCCTTCGCTAAACTCTGAATCATACAAAGTTCAACAGATAAGATTGTTCGCATACTTGGGTATCGCTTAGAAACGGGAAAGTAACACTCGGCAGTACAGACGCGATAGAGTGATGACAATCTCTCTCCCTCTGTTGAGTTTACACATAGTTTATAGGGACATGTTTAGACTATTTTGTGGGCATGGTAGAGAAGATTAAAAGGATGCTACCGGGGGTAGAATGTATGATTTATCCCATTAACTCACTGTTTAAAGTGCTGGCCATGCCGGCAGTGGGTAGTTTACCTAAGGTACTGACTGTGTACAAAGGTGCAGAGAGAGAGAAAACTTACTGCTCGGACGTGACTGCTCTCTTGGATCGTGGGCTTGCGGCAGAAGCCACGAGACACACCAGCAGGGCTAGCAGCGGGGGTATACGGGCCTTGAGAGCCATGCTTCCCCGTCAACAATCCGTCGCTATCCCTTGGAGTTCGGTGCAGAGCAGGTAACGTATGTTAGGGAATGTGGAAGACAGTGCTACCTCCGTGGCTCGAGGCTAGGTCGCTAAGAGGGGTAAAAGTAGGCGGAGTATTTGCTCTTGTTATCACGCACGCGCGCGCTGACACTCCCCCTGGCTGGGGCACATTATAAAAGGAAAGGTGCCAGGCTGTGATTGGTTAACGAAGAATTAGGGTTTTAGTGGTTGTGCGGCAGAACTCAGTCAAAGTTTCTTTCCCCAAAATACTACAAAGACTCCTTGAATGACCCTACCATTCTTTTTTAATGAATAAATGAATGGCGACCTTCATTGCTCATTTTTGCATTGCAGGTCGACCAAAAACATAATACAAAATACAACTGTCTAGTATTAGATACTAGATAACTTTTTAGTTATGGTAGAGATAGAAGAACAGATATGTGTGTCTAGTTGAATATGAATATTTCTAAAGTGTATACTTCATTGTATCTGCATCTTCTATTCAAGATGATGAGATAGAGAAAGAGTTTTACAGTGAGTTATACGGCTGTGGTCTGGCTTTTTAACAACGCAGCTTTCAATGTGCTAGAGGTTGTATAAGAAGACTTCTGAAGGGGTGAACACCAAGTAAGCACATAATCGTATGTGCAGACAAAAATCAAGTGCAAAGTCAAGAAATCGTTATACATATATACAAGAAAGAAAATATACGGTAAATTTTTGTTCTGCAAGTTCAATACCAAAGCTTAGTTTCAAAATTCTTGGACGCCAGCAGCCCTGTAACCGGACGACGTTGTTTATAATAACTGTGTTTTCCCCTGAGTTAGCGGAATGTGATAGTCAGTCCCCACAACCTGGTACTGGGTAGTACACAAGTCATGCAAGTACGGCGTTTGAGCCAACTTGATATCCTGTTTTGATAAAGTCTAATAGGAGGGACAGAGCTATGGAAAAAACGTGGAATAATCAAATCATTATCACAAAGCCATCTAAATTTTCTTTGATTTTATACAAGAAGCATTGTATATGACCTAAATATGCAACTTCACCTATAAAATCGTTAGGTGTAATAAATAAAAGAACTGTACATGTATTTATGAGATGGAGTGGCGAGGAGACAGAAACAACAGAGTTCTAACGTTTATTCATTGATCAGTGGTATTCATGACAAATGTTTTTGGAGTGGCGAGGAGGCAGAAGCAACCGAGTTCTAACCACTATTTATTTACCTACGGTACATTAAAGATACATTATTATGTAACATTGGGACGGTAAAAAAGTAAACTTCGTGGTCATTTCATTACAAACTACTTAAGTTGCAGTACCAGTACCTACTCCATTGCAAATATTTATTATTACTATTTAGGCCATTCAGGAAGTGGAGGTGCTTGAAAGAAATGTCTTACGAGTTTCTGTAAAAACTGGAACTTCACAGCCATGTTTGTTTACATGGCTGTGAAGTTGGTATTTTGTGGTGACACCATAAAATGAGTGCACCTCGTGTGGGCTGTTTTAGCGGCAACCATGCATGTCAGAAATATGAGATAATTGCACAAATGCGTTGAAAATTGGACCTAAATTACAATCACACGAAGATTTTTTTCATTGAAATATTTCAATTTTTTGTGCAAAATGTTACATAATGCCCCTTTAATGCATACTCGTTTGGTAGTAATAATAGTATCATTACAATCAATTGTATTCGTTAGAAATATTTTCTTCCTGTAATTTCTCGTGACCAATAGCAGAATGTTGCTGTTACTTTGACTACTGTGTAAAGCGAATCTGCTACCTCACTATTGCTTAGAAGGGTGGGCGATGATATGACTAAACTATTTACACACATATGACAATGAATTTCCCATCTACTGCATCACATAAAACATAACCTTCTGGCGAATGTAACAACAACACATTGTATGAAAAATTTCGTACATGCACTGTATTTGTATTCTAATGACAAATTGGTAAGTTTTAAGTTGGCAAAAGATCAAGTTCGCTTAGAAGTATCTTGAAAACAATCTAAAACCTACATGTCAAGTTTGATGTAGTCCAGAGCCAAAACGTTAAAACGAGTGGTATAAAAATTGTTCCATTAACAATATATTTTCACCAGTGTGAGCAGATAACAGTAACATTGGACTGATAACATATATTGATGTTATAGCGTGGATGTGATATTAGCAATCATATCCTGAAGAGCATTGGCCAAGAACCAAATTTTCCCTACTCTTTTTCACAGTGAGAACTATGTGTATATCTTTGATATTTTGCGTTTTTAAAAATCATAGGAATGAAAAATTGACGTCTGGAATATGCATATGGACATATGCTCGAGAATATGTCCATATGTACATGGGGGGACAGAGTTTGTATTGGTACTGCATACGACTGTATTTGTACTTCAGTTTGTTAGAACATTTACAATAGTTAAACATTAACCGCCTTTTAATGGGCCACTAGAGTAGGTTGTTATAGACATGTCATTGTGGTAGGCATGTGAGAAAGGGTCACATGGTACAGTGTGTGTACATACGTGTATGCGCACCTGTGCCAGGATGTTATATCACTACATTTATACCGTTAGGTAACTTGTCAGCACGTAATTACACAAAAGGGTGTCATGTGCCTTTTAAGAATAGGAGGTAAGAAGATGTAAAGATAGCTCAGGTATTTTTTTGCTCTCAGAAAAATTACAGATATTCTAACTGGTTGCTTTAGTCTTGCACATTTAGTAGCACATTGTGCAGTAACGTTGAGCATTTTTTCGGCTCTTAAATTGAACAATTTTTGCGAGTTAACCTAATTGTGGGGGGCGTACTAGGTTTCACCCCTTCAGTTTGTGTATATGTAACACTACGTGTATGTATGTATGTATGTATGTATGTATGTATGTATGTATGTATGTATGTATGTATGTATGTATGTATGTATGTATGTATGTTATGTAGTTATGTATGCGTGTGCACGTGTTTTATGTGTTTTATGCGTGTAGTGTTTGTGTTTGTATATCATTGCTCGTGCGTGTGCACATGGTGTGTGTGTGTGTGTGTGTGTGTGTGTGTGTGCATCTCTCTCTCCCTCTCTCTCTCTCTACTCTCTCCCTGTGTGTGTGTCGTGTGTGTGTGTGTGTGTGTGTGTGTGTGTGTGTGTGTGTGTGTGTGTGTGTGTGTGTGTGTGTGTGTACCAATGTGGATGTTTTTTAGCGTGTGTGGAAAAATCATCATGAGACTTTTGAGACTCGTTATTTTACTGTACACACACACTGCCGGCTATTCTCGGAACTCAAGGATATGGATAAGGATCAGGAAACTCCGAACGGAAGCTGTATGCTTGTCGAAGGATTATAGACCGACACTCCTTGTGGATTACACGGAAGTTAGGAGGCTGTAAGAGTGCAATTTGTCTAAGGATTTGCAGGAAATATAAAAAATGATCGCTACGATCATAATAAATAATTAATCATAAGAAATGCAGTTTTCTTTAAAATTCTGTAATTCACTATATATTCATAGTGTTCATAGGAAAAGTTCACGGTCTGAGAAAAATGGACATATTCACGGAACTATATACGGAACTATATATTCGCGGTGGCGACAGGTGCAGGAAAACGAAAGCCCAAGAATTATTTGTTAACCGTGCGTAATGATAAGCTCACGGTACAGAAGTGATAGTGAAAACGGTGAACATAACAGTACAGTGAAAAAAAAAACAGGAATTACAGCTATCTGCGTACATTTTGATACCACACAAGTATCTTTTCCACATTGGAAAAGCTGTTTATCTTGGCTCACTGTTTAGCGTATTTGACAAGTGCAGTGGAAACCCGGATACAGTGTTAGACTTTTAAGGGTAAAGAGCGAGTTCACATAGAGTTCAGTCTGGTTCACTCACCACCACACACGTTCATCGCCATGCATGGGACAAGTTCCAAAGTGTGCGACTTTATCACGCGATCCGTGACGTATGGTCACGTGATCTGTGACGTAATTAACCTGGTTAGGCTGCTGACCTATCAGCGCAGTTGTTATAGAAACCTGGCTATGGAGTTTCTCCTCACAAGTCGTTTATTTACCAACAGAAGTGACTCTAATGGCCGTGTTAATTAATGTCTATGATAAATCAAATGTACATGTGTGCTGAGATGTTTGAATAGCAATAATCATTAAGGTAAAGGTAATGTATGTAGTCAACCTTAACTGAGGTGAGGCAAGCATGATACTACATATTTGTAATAAACTTTAAAGAAATAATTATCAAATGTCACTATTGAAGGTTCCCAATGCAGTTTTTAGGGCTTGAAAACCGGACTTTTCAAAGCCAATATTGTAGTAACTTATCTACATACCAAGCCGAAACAAGACTGTACATCGACTTTCATGGAGCAAAAATGCCGAAAATTGTGACTGGTAGGATCCTGGGCTGATTTTGGGGTACCGCCCAGAAAATAACTTGTTTCTGTGGTTCTGTTGTAAACGCCCAACGTATTAAACACATACTGATGCAAATGTGATAATGTAGGGCAGTAAGTGTCAACAATATACAGATTGCCTTGTTCAGAATATTATCAATATTGCTGCCCCGAAATTGCATTGGATGCAAAAAAACTGTACACGACCGCTTTGTACAAATTTCTAGAGCCTTCCAAACGCGTATAAAGCACTTACATCTGCTTGGAGATTATGAAATGGCCTTGTTGACATGCCCTTAAAGTAAGTGTTTGCTCGAAACCGGTACAAGCCGGTTATCAAATCGTTCTTGTGCCGTGCCAGTCGGCACTTCCTAGACAGTGTCACTTGTGTAATGGTAGATACTAAAAGCCTCTATCAGGCTTCGGAAGCGGCTGGTAAGAATAGAAATTGGCCAAATAGTGCGTATACGGAACATAACATTTGAGTTTGTCCGAGCACCCAAATGTACTCCTTTTAGTGGACCAAGTCCCCTGCTTGCTATCTCAGTCTATTTGGCATATATGCTATAATGTTATAATAATATTTTTGGGTTCCACCCATAAATAGCTAGAACCAGCCAACTATTTGAAACAAGCAACCGTTTTGTCGGATCCGTCAGTGACATCACATGTTTGCCTCATAGATATCACTCATATCAGCTGGCATATAATTGACCAAAAATTGACTTTTAAAATCCAGTTTTGCTAACTTGGGCCTTCACTGGAAATGCGCCGTGTTAGTTTGAGATAGAACCACTAGATGTCGTTGCTGCACGCTCGAGAATGTGCCGGAAACCGACCACTGTCGTAAATACCCACACGCGTGGTCCACAACGCGGAAGTAAAGTTTTGATGCAAAACAGTGACAGGAGGGTGTCCAGTAGAACAAGTTTATCAAGGGCTCGTCGCGTTCACAACAGGTGAGTTTTGGGTTGTATCTTTGCTTTATTCTCTCCTTTAGATTATATTCGACATTTTGGACGACTATTCCACTCTATCTTACTTACTGTGTATTAGTAACTTACATCGGCGCTCAGGTATACATAAATTGTACCTTAAATTATTTATTAAGCCTAATAGATGCTTTTAAGTGTTAACGTTGCAGAGTTACAGAGATTGTTTAATGCTTTTAGCAGTAATACTTTGCGTATGAAAATACTCATGGAACCTAAAATGAATTATATTTCACAGCAGTCAGGGTTGGATAAGTTTTAAGTTCAAACAACGATATGTAATTCGTTAATAATTTAAACCATGGGTTAACCGGTTTGAACTACATTTAAGGTTGACGTTTGATGTAAAGAATCGACTTCAGAGTAAATGTAGGTCAAGGGATTCAAAAAAGTAAAAAAAAGGACAGTATCAAGTTGTAAAAAATTACACAACGTTTTCTGCATGTACATTGTAGTTATATAAAGGCATCCCATACAATTTCAGTACTCTTCAAAGATCAACTTGAAGATATAACTTGAAATGTGTATGTCACCCAGCCCCTCCCCCTTCTTACCACTCCTACAGCAATTAGAGTATGTGCCCTGGCTGCATGTATGTCGACATGGAATGACGATTGGTCATTTCTTCATTTAACCGTGAAATTACCCACATGTAGTGCAACCACTTATTGCTATTAAACTTCGACCACCATGCACACACTAAAAAATACATACATAATACCACAAGCATCAGGGGCACTATTACCAGTAGACTTGTACAGTACATAATACATTACTAGTAGAGTAATAGCCTACGTCATCACCTTATTTCTCAGTAATGCCCCGTGGTTTGACCACACTAAGTCTGCCCGGTCGAATGTAACTGCCTCTCGTACAGGTAATGTTAGACTCTGTATCAATTGTGGCTCTCTTTGTGTACATAAGCAATTTATCCATCACATATCTACATGTAGTGGCAAGTTAAATGGCACTGTAACAGTTCAATCTTACTATACTATACCAGAAACATGGTTGATTTGACTCTCAGAATTTCATAGTACATGTACTATGATGTAGTATGAAAAATGTTAATCAAAGAGTCACTAAGCCGTGCATGATGCTGTGATTATTAACAACCCAACCGTTGGATATTTGCAGAGGTTGTGTCTTACGACTACTTGAAGTGGTCCAAACTGATAAATATATAAAACCGCAATAGACAAAAAGCACAATAATTCAAGACCAGCTAATTATGTCTAGATGGTAACGGTAATGTCCTAATGAATTTTCCAAAATGCCACCATATGTTAAGATACCATATATATATGAATATCATGCTTTTATTCTTTATGTGCCAAAAAGTATAACAAGCCACTTGTTATACTAAGTTGTTTTTCTAAAGATTAAAAAATTTACACAAACAACAAAAAAGGGCTATCTTCTGCATTTGCGGTCCAAATTGTTACCAAATTGGAGCAGGCAACTTTAACTCCCTAAATAAATTTTTCCTTACTGTATTTGCAGGTTGAAATGACCATCTAAAGTTCACCAAATATCATCATCCTACAACATGGCAGAACGTGGTAGAATACTGACGTATGGGTCCTGTTGGAGGTACCTAATCATCATCATCACGCTGCTAGTAGCATCGCGACGTTGCGATGTCACCGCCGACAGTCAAATCCTGCAGAAATGCCACATGAAGCCGTTCGGTTGTCACAAGCCGCCATCCGGAACGGTCAAGGTTATCGACAGCGTACCCGACCCCGAGACGTTCTACCGCGAATACGTCCGGAAAAGCACCCCCGTCCTCATGAAGGGAGGAGCTGCTCACTGGCCGGCCGTTCAAAAATGGCCCGGAAACGAAGAGTACCTCACGGAAGCATTCGGAGACGAAGTCTTCAAGGTGGACTTCCGTAAGGTCTGGAAGAGCGACTTTGCCATCAAGAAGAAGATGAAGATCAGAGACTACTTGAAGATGTACCGGGATGAGCCGGTCTATCTGGATTCCTCGGTGAGCATCACGAGTCAGATGTACAAAGACATGGAGCTGCCAGCCTGTCTGGCCTGTCCTGAACAGACTGCTAAAGTAAGTATCAGGGTTGGGATTTTTTTTAGACCATGTTGATTTGATTATAGGGTTAAAGTGACTGTGCTGTTCTTTTTCCCCAGCTGACAAGTATAAACCTGCTGTACAGTTGAGGTGACATGTGCAGGATTAAAGTGTGCTGTTCTTTTTTCCCAGCTGACAAGTGTAAACTTGCTGTACAGTTCAGGGAACACCAGTTATGTTATTCACCATGATGGAGTGGACAACATCCTGACTGTGGTGTCAGGAAGGAAAACTGTCCTGGTGTCCCACCCCAAGTACTCCCACCAACTGTACATGAATGACTTCACCGTGCTACCAGGTAGGTTTAACGTGGACCCTAACATTGCATGTGTATCGATGAGCTTCTACTCTCATTGGAAAAAGTCCTGCAAATTAAAGCATTATTATGACTGTGTTTTCTATTTTCCTTATTACCCCCATGAAAAATGCAAGTATTGTTTTTGCTATGTCTGTGTGTATCCAGAATGAGAAAGTCACTAAACACATCTACATACTTTATTAGGTTTTTCATTACATGACCTCCTTGACAGCTGGTGTTGTTTCCCTTCCACAATAAAGAAAGACTTGTAGACTCAATATGGATAGTGAATGAGAAGAGGACATGGTCACCATCACACATGATCTAAATATTTCATGAAGGTTTGAGATCTTTGAATTCTTGTTCTATGAAATTTTGACTTTTTTGTTCTATGAAATTTTGAAATTTTTAGGGTTGGCACCGCTGGATCCAGAGGAAATAGACTTGGTCAGGTACCCAGGTGTTGCTGAGGTGGACTATACCATTGCTGAGCTGGAGGCAGGGGACATGTTATTTGTTCCACAGTATTGGTATCACCAGGTAATGATATTTTGGCATTTAATGTATTACACAACGATTGATAAGGTAAAACTTATTTCTTTTTTCTATTGGCACTCATCTGGTGGCACAGTGTGATATGTCATACTTGGGGTTTACGGAAAAGCCTGTGCTGTGTTCCTGGCTATCTGGCTTAGCTATTTGAGCTGTCTAGCATGTCTCACTCACTGAGGCTACTCAGATACCCCCATTCACATCCTCACAAATGATAAGACACCTAAGTAGCTACATTGTGTGCCCTCTAGCGGAATGCATGAAAATTACACCCAGTGTGATAATGGAGAACTGTTTGTAACGTAATAATCAACGTTCTTTGTACCATAAAAAAGTTCTTTGTACCATGAAAAAGTTTATTGTTTTAGCATTATATACATATATCTATGTATTGTAAATCCTTGTAGCCATGATACATAATTATACATAATCCTTGCGGCCATTATGTATAACCCTGGAGATCATTTAATATTAGATATGCCTACTCAAAACAGGTGCGTTCTGAGGGAGATCCCAACATTGCCTTCAGTATCTGGTTTGAGCAGTTTACAGAGTGTAATGAGAGAGTGGAGGACGAGGTGGACCCAGACCTGATGGTTGTGGAGAGTACAGAGGTGTTCTTACGGTGCCTGGAGGAACAGCCGCAGGAGATCAGCTGTAAACAAGGGACCCAGAACCTGTCTCAGGTTAGATCAGGCTACTTCTGTTGTACATGGTATATGAAGAATTAAAGTAACACACATGACAAACCAGTTAAGGTTGAGTAAGTTTTCAGATAGCATCTAGTGCATCATTGTTTAGCTCATGAAAGGGTTAATTAAAGGCATCCAGTGCAATTTCAGGGTGGCAAAACAAAAAGTATTTACTGCCATTTCTTGGCACATTTTTGTCATCATTTCATAATAATTTGAAGCATTTGAAATAGCCCCAAAACAAGCCATGTCTCAGGGATGTCTTGGGTATCAATAGCTAGAACCAGTCTATGATACAAAACAAGCAACCATTTCGCTCAGCGACATCACATTTTTGCCTCACTGATATTAGTATATATATTATATGCTATGGGATAGGATTTATTCAAGTAATTACTGCATTAGATAACCAGAAGTTTGTCTTCAAAAATCCAGTTTTACAGCCCTGAAATTGCATGTACAAATTGCCTTTAACATGAAATCCTTTCCTATAAAGAGAATATTTACAACATGTTGATACTATTGTGAGTCATGATACTTGTTTGTAAACAAATTACCTTGTTCTTTTTAGATCATAGCTTCATTGCCAGAAGAGACAAAGGAGAACTGGGTGGTTGGGTACAAGAGTGGTGACATCAAGGAGGCAGAACCTGTGCCGGACAAGAAGATGGCTAGTGGATATTCTAGTAAGAGCTTCCAATAATATGACTTAAATGCACAACGTTTGCATAAGACACTTCTGTTACTTAGAGACAATAATGTTAAGAATAGACGTATAAGTTATTGCTTTGACCATTTGCTATTAAATCACAATATGTGCTGATATGTTTTTTTTACCTTGTTATGATAGTCTACCTTTTATTTGACATTCTAAAAAATACTGTTTAAAGTTTATTTAATATGATCTTAGAAAATATATAAGTATTTTTAATAACTACAAAACAATTTTCTTATTCATTTGTTATGTTTTCATTTTATTTCATTTTCAGTCCCTGTTCTTGGGTTGGGCACAGCACGGATGTACCAAAAGACATATGATGCTGTATTATTTGCACTAAAGTCTGGCTACAGGTGAGGTTATAGGTGGTGCATTAGTGATGAATGAATTGCTGATAATCTTATTTCAAGTCTTACTGGAATACTGTCATGTTAACTTTAACACTACAGTCTGATGATTGAAAAAGAGTCCTCTCTGTAATCTGTGACAGTTACACCGCATGCTTACATTACTGTGAATACTAGCAGCTTTTTTACACGGTCCTCTTGTTTATTTTGTTGCTTCATTATTTGGTTGACTAATTGTTTGGTTGGTCAGTTGGTTGATTGACTAATTTGCTCTGTTGGAGGGACAAAAGAGGGAAAACAATTTTTCTGTAAGAAAATTTTCTTATGATGCTATTCACTTTTTTTATCTGCATAGGATGATTGACACAGCGCAGGCCTACATGTACTCGGAAGAATCCATCGGTAGAGCGATCAAGGATTCAGGTGTACCCAGAAAAGACATCTTCATCATCACCAAACTGGCTCCAAAATTCTTCGGCTTCGGTCCAACCAAGAAGTCCGTCGACGTGTCTCTCGAGAAACTGGGAACCGACTACATCGACCTGTTCCTGATTCACTCTCCTGACTGCGAGGAGGAGGGTGGCGAACACGATGGCGACGATTCGTTCAAATGCCCCCTGGGTAATCCCAAGGCATCGTGGGAAGAGAGTTGGAAGGCCATGGAAGAGCTTCACCGAGAGGGAAAGATCCGGAGTCTGGGAGTCAGCAACTTCTACCCCAAACATCTCAGCAAACTGGTGGGCATGGCAGAGGTGCCTGTCTCGCTGGTCCAGAACTGGTTCGACCCGTTCTACCAAGACCAGGCCACGAGAGAGTTTTGCCGCCAGCACGGCATCGTGTACCAGGGGTACAGCACGCTCGGAACGCAGTGGCCCGAAATGATCGACCCGTCCATGGCCAACCCGATTCTCACGCATCCCGAGTTCCATAGAATTTCCTCTGCGATCGACCGGTCGATACCAAGCACCGTTCTACGCTGGGCCATACAGAAGGATGTTGTGGTGATCCCGAAAGCCGTGACTGAGAAGTACATCCTGAACAACCTGAATGTCCTGGAGATGGACCTAAGTGACACCGCCATGGAAGCGATTGACGAGTCCATCATTCCTGTTGAGATTGACGAAGACGGGGAACCGATCTTGGATGATGCTACATTGAATAGGATCATGGGAAATGTAGAGGAAACACCTGAGGTTCACATCCCAGATTTTAGGATGCCCAGTGGACACACAAGTATGTATCATACTCATACATAAAGATATGTTTGATCTGAAAATGTACCATATAGTTGTCCTGTTTTGCATATTTCAAACATGGTAGAAAAAAACATGTCAACTTTCCAAATGAAACTATAATGAGTCCTGAATTTATATGATGTATACATAGGTCCTATAGGTGTGTTTTTGTTCAACTTTTAGTTTTGTTAGGTGCAAAACAGTCACTATTTCAACACAGCAATTACTGATGCGAAAGTAAGAAATCTCTGACACTGAGAAGAATGTTTTTTTCCAGAAAAATTTAGCTTTTCTTTATTTTAGGAACTGATTTAAGAGAAAACTCTAATAATTGCCTAAAGAAACTGATAATATCAGAAATAAGTAATTACTATACATTCTGACTTGTTTGTTTGCAGTTCCTGTTTTTGGGATTGGGGTGGCTGGGATGATAGAAAAGACATATGATCTCGTGCTGTTTGCACTAAAGTCTGGATACAGGTAAGCTATGGTTCATACTTATATTATCTGACTGTCAAGAACAAGCAAGTCATTGACATCTGATACTTTGAAGCATATAAGAGCTGAGTCCTAAATTTTAAACCTGTCATTCAAAATTTTAAGGTTTTGGAGTTAGTAGAACATTCATCAATCAGTAACTGTCTTGAAATGTAGAAACACATACCTCCAGATTTTTGATGTCTACTGTACATCTTGATTACGGAGTGACCTAGTCTTGCGAGAACACGAGACTAGGTCGAGACTTGTGCAGGTCCTCTGGCCTCCCCTGCCTCCTTGAAGAGTAGGGGTAAATGTATATATATCTATAGGACTTGGGCAGCTCCCAACCTTCCTTGCGATTCATCCCGGCACGTTCCAACTGGATTAATGTTTTGAGTTGATGAACACATTGTTACTACTTTTCAGGATGATTGACACAGCACAGTCGTACTATCTCTACCACTCTGAAGAAGAAGTCGGCCGTGCCATAAAAGACTCCGGAATTCCTCGAGAAGAAATCTTCCTCATCACTAAGCTTGCTCCAAGGTTCTTTGGCCATGACTTAACACTTGACTCAGTCCAGGAGTCACTTGAGAAACTTGGTATGGACTACATCGATCTTCTCCTGATCCACGACCAAGACTGCAGCGACCCTCACTTCCAGTGTGCACCGGGTGAGCCCAAAGGATCATGGGAAGAGAGCTGGAAGGCCATGGAGGAGCTGCATAACAAGGGCAAAGTTCGCAGCCTGGGCGTGAGCAACTTCTACCCGAAACAGCTGGAGAAGCTACTAGCCATGGCGGAGGTTCCCGTATCTGTCGTTCAGAACTGGTTTGACCCGTTCTATCGCGACGAGGCCACAAGAGACTTCTGCGAACAGCACGGGATCGTGTACCAGGGTTACAGCACGCTCGGCGGCATGTGGACGGACTGGATATTTAGGAGGAAAGCTGTGGAGCGGACGAAGAACCCCGTCCTGACAAGTTCCATTTTGGCGAAACTTTCCAAAACCTTAGACATCCCCGTGGCAAACATCGTCCTGCGGTGGGCCTTACAGAAAGGCGTGGTCATCATCCCAAAGTCTGTGAAGAAGGAGCACATTCTAAATAACCTTCAGGTGCTCAACATGGAACTGAATGAGCTCAGTGTCCGCATTATTGACGAAAAGATAACTCCTGTGAAGATAGATGAGGACGGTGTACCTTCTGTTTACACAGATGACAAGGAGTGGGGCAGGATTGTAGGGAGCCCTGAAGACAGCAAACAACAAGACATCAAAGTACAGAAGAACAGTAAAGACCAGAAGAGAACAAAGTTACTCGAAGCAGTGAATTTGGAAGATGAGACCATTTTTGTTGGTTCTGATGATGGCAAGATGTATGCCTTGGATGGGGAGACTGGAAAAGTCAAGTGGACATTTACTACAGGTTAGTCAAGGTGGAATACAACACCAGTAACAAGAATGTGTCAATGGCATGGGTAATCTTTCTTTGCTGTTCTTGGTGCTGAACATCATCCACACAAAAAGATGCCTGTCCTTGGTGCTGAGCACTATCCAGACAAAAACATACCTGTCCTTGGTGCTGAATACTATCCACACACTGGTAAACATACTTGTCCTTGGTGCTGAACACCTTCGATACACAAACATAGCTACCCTTGTTGCTGAACACCATCCACACAAAGGCAAACATGGCTGTCCTTGGTGTTGAACACCATCCACACACAAACATGGCTGTCCTTGGGGTTGAACACCATTCACACATAGGTAAACAGACCTGACCTTGGTGCTGAACACCATCCACACATAGGTAAATAGACCTCTCCATGGTGTTGAACACTATCCACAATACAAAACAAACAACTATTTTCCATCAGTGTCATTTTTACCTAACGGATATCAGTATGTTATGAGATAGGACTGATTCAACTTACTACATTAAAAGAATGACCAGAAAACTAACTTTGAAAATCTCTGATGTGCTTAATAAACTCATGTTCATTCCTGACATTTCTCCCATTTCCTATAGAGAAGGATCTTGGTTCTTCTCCTGCCTTCAGCCCTGATCAGTCTGTGGTGTACTTTGGGACAGAGGATGGACATGTGAACGCCTTACATGCTAAAGACGGGCAGGTTGTTTGGAGATATAAAACAGGTTTGTAATATAGCTTCAGTGTTAAGATATCAACCTCCTACTTGTAAGTCAAGTCACTTGTGCACATTTTGTACAGTTTTTTTTTTAATTCATCCTGATAAATGTAAGTTTGACTATCCATTGGACAACACATTTATAGTGTAGCTATTTCTCTAAATCTGCTAAAATTTAGAAAATTTTGTCATTTTTAAAGTATTTCTTGCATTTATTTGGTGTGTTAGCACCTTTATTACCTATGCCAATTAGTGAGGAAAATTAATATCTCTCCACCTTTATCTAATCTTGAAAGTTACTACTTCGTCAGTCATAAAGGTTAACATTACAATGTATTTGGTAAAGGTATGAGGTCATGGAACTATAGTTCATATCCAAGTCTTACATACATGTAACTCAACAAGGCCAATGATCAAGGTTGCCTGTTGTTCTTAATGTAATACTAATATTATGAAGTACTAATTGTTGTATCTGTTGCAGGTGCCTCAGTTACTTGCTCCCCCTCGGTTGGTGCGGATGGTACGGTCTACATCGGCACCCTGGACAACCAGATGTACGCCTTCACGCCAGACGGGAGCGTGAAGTGGTCACGTGACCTGGGCGGAGAGATCTGGACACACCCCGCTATCGGACACGACGGTCGGCTGGTGTACGTGGGAACGATGTCAGCAACTAACTTCAACGCCTTTGCACTGGATTCACAAACAGGTAACAAACTTCAATGTTTTTACCCAAAATTCCTATCAAATTATGGTAAGTTAGCCCCTTTCTAGGACAGATTTGAAGTAGTCAGTCCCCTCCCATTTAAAGAAAAGCACTGAATTACATCAAGTTAAAAAAATGCATTTGCATACAAAAATTAGCTCTTTTCATCTTTCCTTTAAAATGCCCATGGTACCAAAATAAGACAATATCTGACTATAGTTGACATACATGTAACTAGTATTACCTGGATAACAGGCAAGTTTACAATAAATACCTGCTTCCCCTGTTACATATTACATTAAAGACATACCAACTATCTGTATCCAAAGAAGGTAGACATTATTAGAACACAAAACATAGCAGTGAGAAGCAGTATGCCACATTCAGAAGCTGTGAGGAAGGTGTTTGATAGAACCAGGTGAGAGTCTATACCATTTGTGTAAAAATAATAATACCCCATGCCCCATGCTTTCTTCTTCTTCTTCTGCTTCTACAGATACATTCTTAATCTCTTTTTTTTTCACAGGGATTCCTGCCTGGTCCTTCAAAGCAGCAGGTCCTATCTGGGCAGCCCCGACCCTGAGCCCTGACGGTCGGTACGTGTACTACAGCTCTCAGGACTCCCATATCTACACTCTCCGGGCAGACAGCGGCAGTCTGGTCAGGAAGTTTGACCTCGGGGAGGACCATGACGGCATGGACTCTACTCCTGTCATCAGCAGGGATGGCACACTGTTTGTTGGTGGGTTAGAGTTTGTTTGTTTGTTTACTTTTATTTAGGACACACCAATTTCATTTGTTGCTTCTCAGATTTGTTGCTTCAATTTTTATTTATTTTTAAAAGATGATAAGTCAAAAAGTAGATAAGTTGAAAAATCGCAAACCTCCCTACACAATCCAACATTGGCAACATAATACTAAAAATTTCCCACGAAAAGCTAAAAACTTTGCCACTAGGTTCCCCTGTTCACATCACTACACCATTTAAATTCTTGTTTCAAAGTCCTTCTAACATTACATAGTATATAACTGACAGAGACAAAGTAAGTAACAGGTTGATACTGGCTTGTCCAAATCAAAGATAGAGCCTACTAAGAGTATGATTTTATCTATGTCTGCAGTTCTCAGTTGATTGCAGACAAGGGCCCGGCTTTGCTTGTTGTATGCAGGGCAATGTAACAGAATAATGACTTTGTATGTTGTTTCCCATTCTTGACCTGCTTTCACAGGCACAATTGCAGGGTCAGTCATGGCTGTGGACATCAGGCGAGGGAAGCTAAAGTGGGAGAAGGTGTTCGGGGGTGAGATCATGTCTTCACCAGTTCTGGACAACGAGGGGTACCTGTACATCGGCTCTGGTGAAGGCCAGCTAGCTCTCCTCAAACTCAAACAAAAAGGTCAGCCATACCCTCAGTTCTTGTCTCAATGTCAACACATATCAACAACACACAGCACAGAATGGGTGACTTGTGCCTTTTCAATTATTGAAGGAGTTTCCAAGATTTAGACATTTGTGTTTATGTGTTTGTGTTTGTGTGTGCATGTGTGTGCATGTGTGTGTGTGTGTGTGTGTGTGTGTGTGTGTGTGTGTGTGCGTGTGTGTGTGTGTGTTTCAGCTTCAGGGCCTTTTGATCAGTTTGTAATGGATATGGTTGGGTTCAGTCTGTCCCAGAGGGAGTAAGTCATTAACCACTTCATCTGCTAGCACTCGATGTTTTCACAGGTGTTTTTTTGTTACATGACCTCCTTGACAGCTGACAACTGGTGGTGGTGATTCCAAGTTTTGTACAATAAAGAAAGACTTGTAGACACCATGGTAAATGAGGTCACCATCACACAAGATCTAAATATATCATGGAGGTGTGAGATCTCTGAATTCTTGTTCCAGATGGTTCTGTTGTATGGAAGTTTCCAGCTGGTGAAGAGATCTGGTCCAGCCCCAGGTTGGACAAACACGGCCGCGTGTACATCGGCTCCAACTCCGGGCCTGTCTTCTGTGTGGACCGTGAGACCGGGCGTATGGTGTGGTCGTACGAGACCGAGGGTCCTGTCGTGGCGACGCTACTGATCACAGCTGAACACCAGTATGTGTACGAGTACGGACAAGGCACAGAGAACAAGGATGAGCTGTAAGCGTGCTGAGGTAGTGAAATATAGTGGTGTTAAAGGTGTACATGATTATTGCTATAAAAATTGTCCTATTACTTCTTTTGAAGGTGTACATGTATTCGCATGGTAATAGGACTTTAAGATATGATTGTCTGTGTCAGGAAACCGCTTTCTTGCATGTTGTGAGTTTGTGCTTAGCCTTATGCACAAGTGTACCATTGAGTCTCAGAGTTGGAGTTAGGTTACTTCATCCAGATATTGATTCTTCCACAGTCTTTCCCATGTTTTGTTGCAAATGTTTGGATGTAACCCACCTGATCTTCCTTGCATCTGTAATAATTGTGTTTTATATGCTTAATAACGATGACAGTATTTTGTTTCCCACCTTACTTTGTTGCATATGTTTGGATGTAACTTTAATACCTATTGCATTAGACTCGACAAAATATAACTATAAGAACCTTCAAATTAAATTGTCATGGAGTAACAGTGAAAATACGGTACATGCAGGTTTGTATTTCTAGAGCTGAGATATTCCAATTCTACTATCATTGTAACCTGTAAAATGTAAAAAGCAGAAATATATATTCTGTGTGTTGCAACAAACATACTATGTTAAACATGCTGTGCACAAAATCAGCATTGGTGTCTGTGCTCAACCTTTATTGCATTGTGGCAATCCAGGTGAAATAAAACCAACTTCATGTTGTTCCTGTCTACATGTACTTTACATCATTTATGTCCAAACATACTACTCCAATTATTGCAGTGCTGTTACCTGTACCAGTGCAGTAATGCAGAAATAAGTATTTTGACCTCAGATACATTCCACTAGTACTTTTTTTGCAATTAATGATACAGCCCAAATTGGAAAGACGTTAACACTCACTTTAGCACAATGGTACAAGGTACAGCAGTCACTATGCTTGTAGGGACAAAACAATCATGATGAATCATAAGCTAACACAGATTATTCATTAAAATGATTATAAACCTACATCAACATGTCAATAAATGTAAGTTAGAAATATTCAGGAAAAACTTCAGACCGTGCAATGCTGCTATTAGTCACTTAGACACGCTTCACCATGTCTGACACACAGACCAATATTTCACATGTACTGTTATGTCCAACCCATATATCCGCCTAGTTCTTTTTTTGTGCACCTCATTCTAAAAGTGAGACCAAATCATCTCGTCCACTTCACATTAATTGAATGGTAACTCAAACAACACGGTACGATATTTTGTGGCTCTAATTACATTGTTGTTTAGCTTTATAGTTATGTTGTTTTTAAACAACATAACTATAAATAGTCTTTACTATACATGTACATCGTACGGATGTACATCGTACGCATAAGACTGTCAAGTGATAAAGCTCATTCATATTAGCCACTTTTCATACACAGCCATTATTCATCAATATATTTTCGTTACATAGTGTTGAACGACATCAATTCAATAAGACATTTAGGGTATACAGAATTTTTACATTCACTAATTATTACTTACCACATAAAAAAACGCCTGGCTTCAGGGTGGTCACAAATCTCACAATCACACGATCTAAATAAGTAGGACTATTATTATAGTAGTCTCTACTAGACTCCGATGAGTTTCTGGAAATAGATGAACAAATTACTGAACAATACGCCAGATCAGTTAGCCGAACAGATCAGCTTTCTTCCTGAAAACAACTTCAGTCGTCTAGATTCAATACGTTTTCTATAATATAATAATATCCTCTTGTAATATTTTCACAAAAATTATACAAACTCTTGACAATTCTTTGCTGGGCAGCGCTTTTATGTCCAATGCAACTTGGTGAAGTGTTCAACTTGACAAAATCACTAGTTACGATAAATAGTATAAGGAATGTGTTCTGTTCTACAATATACGGTATTGTTTCGACCATGAACTTAAAACTCCACAAAAACCCTGAGGTTCTTTCCACTTCTACGTATGCAGCGAAATTCAATCCACTGGAGAACAATTTTTTTGACCTCGGAACGGTTATTTGGACACGATTATGGATCACGATTATGATTTTGACATTTTGGTTTGTATATTTCTGTTCAGCCGTTTATATATGTTGTATCGTTTGTTAACTTTTCAGTCATACTGATTTTCAGTTATACTGATCTCTGTTAACTTTTCTCAGTTATGTTTAATTTACTTTTATACAAATTGCTTTATGTTGTGTTTATGTTATGTTATATTGTTTATGTGTCCCTGCTGGGCCCTTTTGGAAATCAACAATTTTACTGTTGTAAAGGCTACCCAGTTGTTTATAAGATGAAATAAATAAAAAGATAAATAAAAGAGTAAGTACATAAAGACATGAATAGGATCCAAATCGTTTATCAGTGAGTTCAAGAGGGATGTCATGAGGACATTTGATGTCTTTAATCTGAAAAGCCTTTCCTTTAATAAAAGCCTAGTAATTGTGAATGATGAAAATGTGCCTTTCTTGTTTCGAATTGCTTTGTTTTTACAGTTGAAAATGTTAGGGAAATACGAATTTTGGTGGGAAGATGTTTACAGTGTTATCATCTACGTCAGTCACCACCAACTGTCCTCCCGGTCCTAGAGCGATGCCCCATGGGCTGTTCATCCTAACGACGGTGCGGACAAACTCCCCGCGGCTTGTGAACATGTCTATCCGCCCGTTTCCGCCGTTAGCCACGATGACTCGACCCGAGCTGTCCGTACAGATACCCCGGGGAAGTTTCAGTTCGCCCTCGCTGTGTCCATATCTTCCGAATTCGTATAGCCAGCGTCCGGAGTGGTTGAAGACCTGGACATTGCTGTATGAATAATCGGTGGCGAAGGTCCTTCCTCCGTGGTGCGTGGCGTACAAGAACTGGTGCCATTTTTTAGGGTGACGCAGTTCCATTCTTCCGTGGAATGAGCCGTTTGGTTGAAACATCTGGATTTCTCCACGTAGGATCACGATGATTTTGTTGTTGGGCACGTCCACCGTCATGGCAATGCTCAGGGTTGAACTCTTGACAGGCACGGCAAAGTTGGTCAGTGGTACGCCGTCTCGGCTGTACTGTACCACACGTACAGGGTGGTCATGAATATATTTCTTTTGTCCCACTACCCACACATGACCCTCTCCGTCAATAGAGACACCGCTAGGCTCCATTTTATCTTCGCCTTTCACCGACACGTGAGTTGGGAAGAGGCGGAGAAAGTCCCCGTTGATGTTGAAGACTTGGACTCGTTCGTTGCTCTTGTCGGTTACAAATATCTCATTGTCGGCAGACACGGCCACTGCGCGGTTATCCAAAAACTCGCCCGGGCGTGATCCTGTGCGTCCAAACATGATCCTCTCTGTCTGAGAGTTCACTCCATGGGTTTCTGTAATAAATGATTACAGGGTTCTAAAATCACCGCTCCGAAAGGCAATTCCTCGTAAAGAAGTTTGGCGGCTAGCTTTCAATGCAAATTCAGTGATATTCGGATACGAAATAGCTAGAGAGCTGTTGCTACATTTCAAGTTTTACAGTTTTAGTACTGGCACATATATCGGCATTCAATGCGTCCTTCTCCCTGCGTTGGCGCAGGCCAGCCGTCAGCCAATCAGATACTTCCCCTTCTGCTATTGGAGGGGAAGTTTCTGGCCAATCACGTTGCCTCTTGAAGCCAGGGAGAGACGTGGTTGGCTGGAGACGGCTAGCCAGCACTAACGCTGCGGGAACGAATCGCAGGCCGGTACGCCAGGGATGTTGCTTGATATAGTGTATACTATCTACATACAGCAGGCCTAGACTGGCATGACAGAATGAAGTTACACATTTTGTACCTTCTGAGCTGTTGAAGGTTGATGGTTCTGTGGCAACTTGTGGGCTGTTGGAGATCACAGTGGGCAGCGTCACATTGGCACGTTGTGAGCTGTTGAAGGTTGGTGTCAGTGAGACATTCTGTGGTTTGACGGAGGTTGAAGACACCTGAAGACAACAAATTTGCAATATTTAAGAACATATTTTACGAAACATATGTACCATATTTGACATATGAGAATGCATATGGTTATGCTTTTGGTCAGTGTTGTAGACAAGCAATCATTATGAAAGAAGTTGACGGAAGTTGAGGTAAGTCTTCTCACCGTGGACATGACCATGAGGTCAGTCTTTTCCGTCCTCCCAAAACTGAAGTTGGTAGGATGACCGCCAGGGGTGTAGGTTGTACCCACAGCTGATGTCGGCTGCAGACAGATTAACGCAATGTTGCTCACACTAGAAACTGATGAGCGACTAAATATTTGACAGATAGCTTAGCTCAACATAGTTTATATACAAACACCCATTTTATCAGTCTAACTGTTTTTAAGCTATTGTTTATTGCTTTTCTGTGCTAAAAATGATCGAAAAATCTTTTTGGTATCAAAGAAATTACTTAAATCTAGCAAAAAACCCAAGCTAAGTACCATTTGAATATCCTGGTTGCTCCCGTTGAGGTATAGCCAGGTAATGGCCCATATGAAGAGCAGTAGCGCCAGGAAGGCAACGGTTACTGCCGCTATGAACACCCGGTGATATGTGCAGCCTAAGTTTCCTATCAAGGGATTAATACAATAGAAATATAAACAAGAAATGCCTTTGAAAAAAAGCTGGCCGAGGGCCAAGATGTAAATAGCTGGTTGGGTGGCGTGAGTGTGATGACAATGTGTGACTCAAATAATTGGTCACGTTGGCGATTTGAATCGCACTAATATTTTATTATTATTAATGCTAACGCTGGCTGGGAAACGTTTCAATAGGGTCCCGTAAAAAGAGTAGTGCAAACATATCCACAGGTACTATCTGCTGTGGAGTATTACAAGTAGATGCAACAAAAATCTCTCTGGCAGATTATAGACGTCTGTACAGGAGGAACCAAGGTCTAAGGTAAGGTAAATTCACCGTTACAATGTATCAGTCTTTTCATATAGTACACCAGCAAACGGCAACTTCAAATGTAATTGTGTCTTACCCTTAGCTGTGTCCTTATGAACGTTTGGCAGGTACATTGGATTCGGCTTCAGAGCTTTTTGAAAGGCCGAGTAAGCATCATTCCTGGCCGAGTTACCCTCTGTTATGCCTGTAGCTGTAGGGATGTCATTGCTGCGACCAGAAACACTGTTTTCGTTTTGTAAAAGTTCCTTTGGTCGCGTTTCTCCGGAATCCCGATCTTGCTGCGATGAATCCTCGTCATCTGGACACATGTACGCGGTAGCGTATGGTTTGATGCCGTCTTTTTGTCCATTCTCGTCTGCAGTACCGACTGCTGTTGATAGGGTGTTGCCATCATCATCATCCTGGTACCTAACAGCGTATGGCTGGATGTGAAGATCGTCATCACTGATGGCTGACCTCAGCGTGGTGTCAACATCGTTGTGCTGTGTAGCGCCATATGCCTGCAAGCACACATCGTCATCACTTCTAGCTGTCGAGGCGGCTGTTTCGTCGTCTTGGAGACGGGCAGCAGCAGTGTATGGTTGGGCGCGGGGGTTGCTGTTGTTGGTTGGCTTTGAGACTGGTTCGTCAACGTTCTGGTACGTAGGCAGTGCGTGCGCCTGAATCCCTGCATTGTCATCATTGCTTGCTGGTGTGATGGTGGGCTCGGGCTCGTCAACTTTACCACGTGAAGCGGCATGTGGCTGGATGTTGGGGGCGTCCATACCTGGACTGAACGCGTCTTGTTCGTGGCCGCCAACGC